TTTAACCAGATGAACAGAGGAAATGAGCATCAGCTTTTGATGTTCAGCTTTACTCATTAAATGTGAAACTCTTACATAAGCCCAGCAAATGGCTGGCAAAGGGTTTAATTAGCAATATAAACCTACTTAAAGTACCTTCAAGTTCTAAGTGGAATTTTAGGAGCCTTTTTACAACTGTTAGGGCAAAGTAGAATTTTATTAGAGAATTTGTAGTAGGTAGTATGACAGTTGAAATACATCTAGAAATGTGGCTGAAAAACAACCTATAATCTGCCCAGACAGCAATTCAATTTTATGCCAGTTTAACAACAAAATACTCTTATGGAAATGTTATTGTAATTAATCTTTCTCTGTGCTTAATTTCATTGTTAAACTAACATGTAATAAATAATGCTTTAGATTCAAGTTGGAGATTCATATTCCTTATTTCAAAAATGAACAAATTATTTTCATTGAAATTGCAAGATAGTACGTATGAAAAAGATACTGAACATCACTGCTGTGAAGAGTGGTGCTGCTGATAGGAAACTATCTGTAAAGTTTATATGTATCAAATGTTTTTACCTAGATTTATATATATTACATATAATCATGCATTAGAAACAGTTCTCCTGTAACTGTAACATTCAGACTTGCATAGTGTCCCGTCTTATTTAGTAGAGAGAAACAGATCTTAGACAACCATTGTACACTGAGATGACTTTGAATGTGCTCCTCTTTCTCTCCATTTACAGCAGAAGCAGCAATCTAGCCTTAGTCTACGTGCCTGACTGTGACGCTAAAGGTCGTTAGTGCCTAGGCGATGCAGAATGTATTTGCTGTGCCAAAACTAGTAGAGGTAAGAACTTGGAAAATGCCATCTGGAAATAACAAAATACACATGTTTGGAAACGATTTTCATTTCAGCCTTCCAGGGTGGCTAAAACTAAAATGAAAAAATAAGACAAATATTTGTTTATATGAAAAAATATTTTGCAAAATCATCAGTTTCAGTCTTTTATGATATGTAAAACAATCCTGCTTCCACTAAATGGAGCAGAAATTTCGTAGTTTTCATCTCAAAGGACTAGGATGACAAGAACAAGGATTAAGCATCTTGTTTTACTTTATCTGAAAAGCTAATGGAGTCATGGAGACTCTTCAATTCATTTTTTTTTTGTATATACATTATGTCATCAAAATAACTTATTTTCATTATAATACATCTGTATTTTCCACCTGTGTTTTGCAAAACATTACACTGTATTATTCGAGGACACAACACAGCTTGAGCTCATGATACATAATCTACATTACTGCTCATAATTTAATACTTACTGAAAGGTAGCCTAACAGAACTGAAAAATTAACATGAGAGTAGTAAGAGCTATCATTTCCATTAGAATCTCTGAAATGCTTCATAGTGAGTTTATTGCATCTGCAATTTTTAAGATGGTTAACCATGGGGTTTTTTTCCTTTAATATTTTTCCAAGATTAAAAAAAAAATAAAATTAAGGTGTTATAGTTTGATGTTTATTTAACTTTTAATAATTCAATAGCAAACAAGTTCCTGATTTCCCTTTATAAAAGAAAAATTAGAGTCTAACACAAGAGAACACTGAGCAGAGAGTAAAATAGAACACTGATCTAAAAATAACAGATTCATATAGCACCTTAGTGAGATATCTTTAGTGTAGTACATATAGGAAATATGTTAAAACTATTTTGCCTGAAAATTACTGTCTTCTGGGTTTGTTTAGTCTGCACTAAACTAAGGGCTTAGTTCTTTTAATTCACATTGAGTACCAGTTTACTTCCCGAGAATTCCCTGTGTCAGAGACATTACACTGTGTGAAGAAAGGTAGAAGACAAACTGGCTTTTAGTTAAGAAAAAAAGGCCCAGACACATTATGCAATGAGGAATTTCAAACAGTGCCAATAGGAACAATACATGTAAGTTAGTGAAGAATAGATCCATCAGTGTGTATACCACAGTGTATTATTTCCAGTATTGGCATTTCACTATGAAAATACTGATGTTCAGTCAACAAATAAACCCAGGAAATACACACCAACAGAACCAACTGCATACACCAATGAACAGAGCTTTGTGACACTGAAAATCGTTTGCTTAATCAGTGAAAAAAAGAAAATCCACACTTCGAGGAGTATTAGTGAGCATATACATGTCTGATATTTTCCTTTCAGAAAGCAATCATTTTTCTTGACACGTAAAGAAAAAAAAAAAAATCTTAAAATGTATCTTTCTGAAATCTGTCTGAAAACCAGTTATCATTGATTTTATGTTTTTTCTTTTTTCTTTTTTTTTTTGTTTTCAAAAATTGTCAATATTTTTCATGTGAATGCATTGAATAAAATATGCATTCTGTGAAAGAGGAGCTGGGACCCATACATTAAAGTGAGTGCTCAAAACACTAGCTTACAGAACTGTGTTCTTGCCTCTCCTGGAATAAATGTATTGTTAACTATTTTTTCCAAATCAACTAAAATTCAACAGGAAGAGTGGTGCATGCCTCTTATTCCCAGCACATACTACTATCCACATCCAAAGAAAGCTAACTTTGAGGGCATCCACTTGATATTTGTGGGTTTGACCCTCTCAGACAGATGAGAGTTCTCACTGCTAAGGCATGGTATCGAAGATGAGACTCATTACTACTGTTGTTTTAAAAAGGAAAGCAGTTTTATTCAACTCCGAATTAAAAAATACCATTTAAATTACTTCAGGATTGTCTTAAGAGCATTTAATTTGTACTAGTTATTCACATTGTATATGGTTTTGATTACAAGAACATTTTAAACCATGGGATTGAGTATATTTTCCTTTCTAATTTAGAAGATTCCTTTGGATGTACTGCATTTCTGAATAAACGTAAAGGTAATGTTCCTGGTTATCCTAGTTATGTTTGCTTTGGCACTACTAGTTAATGATCAAGAAATGGAAAAACAGAAGAATGACAGTTCATTAAAATAATTTTTGACTAATGACTAATTATCAACTAATTATTTGATAATCATGGAAGATCACTGTTAAGAAGCAAGTCCTTCATAAGTATTTATAACCATTGGAGATTAGCATGCATGTTTCTTTTAAAAAATGGTGTTATTTTTCTTTTCAAATTGAACATGTACACTGCTTTTAAACTATTTTACTGAAGATATGTGTATGAAGAATAGAGATTTAGGTGTGTATTAAGGAACAAAGAAAAAAAAACTTTCTTTGAGAAGAGGATGCTTTTTTTAAGTATGTAGGAGACTATATCAGAAGATTTATTTTAAAATGTACCTTACCTCTGTATTGGGGGATTTGCCAAACCTCAGCCTGAATGTATCAGGATTTATGAACCAAGAAAACCAATCTCATTACTATTTTTTGTAGATTTTTGAATAATTGACCCTTCCGATATAGCCACGTTAGGTTAGAATGTACTGCGTACAGTAGTTCACTCTTAGTGAGTGCAGGATTTCTTGAAATTTCAACATTGCCTTCCAGGTTTAACTAAAACCCATACATGATGATAACCATAGTGCTTATGAGATTGACAATGCAGTGTTCATCTGTGTCACACTTTATGCTCATGGATTTCTTAGTGTATCTACTGAGAGTCTGGAGAATTTCTTAGAGGAAAAACCCCCACAGATTCTGCTAATCCAAAAGTATGCATATAGTATAAATCATATAGCTATGCCGCCTCCCTCTGTGGTACACTAAAAGTCCAGAGCTGACACTGAAGTCATGAGGAGTGAGGGAACTTTTCTGCTTATTGGATAAAGCTAGGCAAAATAAGCTTACAGAACATAACCAGAGACAGTGGAAAGATATCTACAAAACTAACATGATCAGGATTAGAAAACTGAAGAAAAAAATGTAAAACAAACAAAAAAGTAACTAAAAACATATTAATTTTTCATTGAATTAAGATTCTTCATTTTGCATCTGCTCTGTTGACTAGAGAGCATTCAGGTAAGACTGTTGATGATATTCACCTCCCATTGATTAACCTGGTAAACTTTACATTTGTATCATATATGGACTGGACGTGTAGATGTGGAAGACATAATGGTCCTTGGAAAGCATGCTGCAGTATTCAGCTATGTGCAAATTTCTCACAAGGAGTTCTGCATATCGTGAAGGAACAGAAAATGTTGAAGCTGAGATGTGTTAAGATGCCTGTCTAAGAGAACAGTGTTGCCCTTGAGGTGCTTGGATATGATAGCAACAGCTGTACTCAAGCAGAATGCTTGCTTACTGTGAGCCATTTTTTTCAAATAAGGAGAGTAAATTCATCCCCTAAGTAATACAAAATCCAAGTAGTTCTTGTTTCAGTGAAAGGACCCAGGAAAAAGAACAAAGGATGTTTGTTGAGACAGAATAACAGATGCAATTATCTATTTTTTACATAGTTGTCATGTCAGATTTATAATTTTACATCCTTTTGAAAAGAAGTTGCAATGATTAGCCACACAATTTTGTTACAGTGATTAGAATGAAACTTCCAGTTTCAGGTCAGATTTCCTTGTCACAACTGGCTTTAAAAGAAACACATCACTAACTATTGTACATTGTACGCATTGTACAAATGCATACTACCGTAACATTTTAAATTTTTATGTGCATGAGGTGCAATCCAATTTCTGTTCACAACGTACTGGTCATAGCTTTAAACCTTTCGGTAATTATAGAATGTTTTGGTTTTTTAATTCTGTTTAGTCCAAAAGATCTCTCTTACAGAGAAACAATAATAAAAAAGGGGTTCAAGATCTCAAAAAAAGTTTGAGAACTTTATATTTCCTATAAAATTCAAAATTTTCAAGAAATAAATGTTTGTATATTGCCTGGCCAAACTAGAAAAAATAAATTGCTTTGCTTGTTTTTTTATTTCCCCAGATTTTCTGTGTCTCTAGTAGAGCTGGAAACGTCAGTTTTTCTGGGGAATGGCACCAGTTGGGACTCAGCTGATTGTATGCAGTTTGTACCTTCTCAGGTGGCTTTGCTTTATTAATTTGGTGTTTGAGAAGTCCAGACGCTAATGCTTCTAATGATCAGCCATTCTTTTTGACTTTTGGTAACAAGTATTCTCATGCAGTTAATATCAAACAGAACTTTGTGCTCTACATCTGTTATTTCAAAATTCCCATTTTTGAATTCCCCTAGTCTTAAATAAGTAGTACATTGTCTGCCTTTTTTATTCCCTACAATCTTTTCTCCTACTTCCAGGGCCCCATGATGCAAAATGTCATTTTGTCGGTCTTCAGTTCCAGTGACAACTTTAATTTTATTGATTTTAATGGGCTTTTCAAATACAATCCCATAGAAGTCTCCAGTAGAAGGTGATTTTCCCCAGAAGTACTCATCAATGCTGCTGTAAGCCTTGCTTGCCTCATAGTTTTCAAATACATTCATGTTGGTGTGCAAGTTTGCAGGTGGGTTGTCAGGAATATCAAATGATTCCTCTTCAAAATCATCATCCTTTAGCTTGTTTTCAGCTCCTTTGTAAGAGGAGTAGTATCCCATGTGCTGGAACAGAGATGGCTTAAAACGTATCACTTCCTTTTGAGCTAATAGCCCACGAAAGTGGATGAGCAGCCAATCGCAAGGCATTTCTTGGTAGAACATCAACAGAAAATGGGCCAGGCGTGGGAGGTCATGGGAATGGTAAAGCTTTCCAATGTACCCCAGTTTGGAGAATTCCAAAGTCACCCAGTAGGAGCCTTCCCGTGAGGTAATTACTTTCTTAACAGTAGTCAAAAAATTCTTTGAGCAGCGAACATCATCTTCTAGCATCACATAATAGTCAGAAAGATTTGCACAGAAGTTAAGAAGGAAAGCATAATCTACATTTTGTTTGGATCGAAACTTCACACGGTCCTCTGGGTCATTGTAATTTCTCTTGAGGCCATCCAGTACAGGATAATACTCTTCAGGGACATGAATAACTATTAATCTGCCTGCAATTATGTGATGTGCAAATTTCTGTGAAATATCCTGGACTATCCCTTCACACCAGTCTGAGTCAAAATCTGCCAGCTGCACTACTACTGCAATTTCTTTGAGTTCCTCATAACTTGACTGCTCAAATATGGATTTGATGGTCTCAAGCAAGTAGTTTCCCTTTTTCCGTTTCACAGAGGATAGCCCAATTGTAAGATATCCTGTACAAAAGACAATTAAAAAAAATTCCTGAGTATTTGACATTGGAAACCATTTCACCACAAAGCTATCCTCCAGAGAAGTGCTTATATTAAATAAATCTTTTGAATGGTGAAGACTGAGACATTTGGTGTGTGAACTTATCAAGCAGCATGCAACAAACGACGTTTATTGCCTTTTAATGAAAGAAGAAACATATTGCAAGCAAATAGACATACGGAGACTATTGTATTAAACATTCACTTGTAAACTGCAAAGAATGGCATGTAGTGGACAAAAGCCAAAGCAATGTGCACGTATATGCCTGGTAGAGGAAACCACATAGACAATGATAAGGCTGTAAAATCTGCTAAAAGAAAGGGTATTATGAGATATGATTCACACAATATTTTTAAAGCAAGGAACTATGAATGCAGCACAAAAATGTGAGCTATAGATTAATTATCAAATTTTTATCATTTTAAGCACTCTACAAGACTAGTTACACTTATGCATAAATTCACATTTCTGTGAATGTTGCATGGATAATTTTTTTTCCTGTGTGTTCATTTTTAACTAAATTTGTCCAATTTTCCCTGGCTAATAGTTCTTCTAACCCTTTTTCAGGACTCAGGTGAAGGACAAAAGGAAAATTTTCTTCACCCAGAGGGTGGTGGAGCACTGGAACAGGCTCCCCAGGGAGGTAGCCATGGCACCAAGCCTGACAATATTCGAGAAGCATTTGAACAATGCCCTCAGACACATGGTCTGACTCTTGAGATTGTCCTGTGCTAGGGCAAAGGTTGGACTTGATGATCCTTGTGGGTCCCTTCCAACTCACATTTATGATTCTATGATTCTATGACTCATGGAGCATTTTACAGGGAACTCCTTCTTTCAAGATGTAATTTAGATATTATTTTAAAGTAGAAAAGAACTTACTATTGTATATCTATGCTTGTATAAATAATTCTTAATGCTGTCACATCTTTCTAGGGAGAGATGCATCTTAATTATGAAAAAAGAATTTTCAGCTCTGCTGTTTTGGCGTCATTGCCATCACATTTTTACCAGCAGTCCAAATCAGGGTTTCTTTTCAGGTATTTGCTAATATATCTCAATTTTTCTAACTTCTAATGTAAAAAAATGTTCAGACTTCATAATTGACAGGCATACTTTAGTTGAACCTACCCCAACTTTCTTAAAATATTATGGTTTGTAAAATACTGATCTGATAAAGTGATTCAGAGTGTTCCTTGAGGCTTAAGTCTGCTCAAAATGCAGTTGTGCAGTGAAATACAATCCCCAGGAGCCATTTATGCTGTCTTCACAGCCCCAGATTTCTAAAATTTGAACAAACTTTATAGCTTTCTATGAAGATCAACAACTCAGAGCTGATTTTATTTTACCTTCTGCTCTTGGACTTCTGAGCCTTGTTTATGTTTGTGAAATGATCAATTTGGGACCAAAAGGACATTTGTCTAAAAGCTAGGTATGGCCATATTTCACTTTGAGTTGAAAGTCTTGAACCCTGCCTGAGGTCTAAATAACTAGATAGTCCATCTGCAGATGGCTTCAAGAAGAATCCTCCTTTACTGTCCCCATGATAGCACAATTCATCTCCCTCATTATCATAGCTAAAGGAACAAGGAGATCTATTCACAGCTGCTGGACTGGTACAACAGGGAACCTGAAGGGTGTATCTGTGTGATCCCAAACATACCTTAGATTAGATTTTACTGGTTATACAGACAGAGATTGACAGTGTGGTCTCAGAAGGTGGTTACAGAACACCACCAGCATGTGTCTTGCTCTTGCTTTCTAAATCATCTCCCTCCGGCCTGGGGGGAAGATCCACAGAAATAGACTTGCACAAACCATCCAGGGACTGCCTGCACGATGACTACGAGTCAGGCATTTGGTCAGAAGGTAACCAGGCTGTGGGGCAGTCACTGCTAGGGCTGAACTAGCAGCTGCCTAGGAACTACCTATGCAGAGAGAGATAGCTGTCCCACTAACTCTCTGAGATAGTCACTGCTTAACTCAGCCTCTCTTGCCTAGAAATATCACAGGGACTAAATGGATTTCACCCATTTTTAAATTACTTCATTTCATAACATTCAGATTGCAGTTACTTACTTTTCCTTGGCAAAGGCGTGCCAGCTAGGTAGCGATAGGAAATATTTATAGATCCTGAGAAATTAGACAAATCTTTAAAAGTGTGAACATAGCGCTCTGGGTTGAGCTGGTGCGTAGCTGTTTCTCTGATTAATTGCTTGTCCCTTTCCTATTAGTGAGGAAACAAAAAGAACAGGAGAGGGAGAGAGACAGAGAGAAACACATTTGAGAATGCCAGCCAGAGAGGAAAGACGGTCAGGCAGTTTTCCAAGAACAACATTTTTCTGTGTCAATTTTCATGAAAGCATGTAGATGTCACCTCATTTTTGTAAAAACCCATTACTGAATATCATACATTTTTGGATACAGAAAATCTACCATAACCTTTCAGATTATGGTAACAGGAAAAGAAAAAAAAATATTTTGGCCAAAAACTCTGGAAAGATTGCAAACACTAAATTATTGCCAAAAATGCTGTGGTATTCAAAATAGGGATAAGAAAGTATCAGTCAGTAGCAGATGAGAAAATTTACATAGATGGAGAAGTGGGGGAAATTTTTTGAAAATGTTTTCGGTACTTAAAAAAACCCACCAAGATTGTTACAAAGGAAAGGTAAAACTAGATCCTGGCATCTGTCTCATTTTTCCATTTTTTCTGAGTAGCTCCAACTCAGGTTTGTGATAAGAAGAAATGCATGTCATCATCCAGACAGCTAAAGTGTTCTTTGGATTTGGTGAATATATTTTGTTGGTATAGAAAAAAGGCAAATTTATCACCATGCCTCCTCTTCCTGCCTCCTTCTCCTGTCTTTTTTTTCCAAGAGGCTTCTCAAGCCATAGTAAAGCCACACAAGGGAAGGAGCAGCTTCGTCAGCAGTGCTCTATCCAAAAGCTCACTTGGGTCTCAGGAAAATCTGTTCCTCAGTCCTGAAGAAAAGGGAAAATATTTAACAGGTTGTAGTGTCATGAGACTGGATTTAAAGGTAGGAATGCTCATTTAATTTGCACTGCTTGATTCTAGTCTGATGACAGGCCAGAGTATGAATGAGTTCATTTCTTCTGATATATGTATGTAAATGCACTAAAAACTTTCTGATCTGTTATTAAATAGGGTCATTGGAAGCAATAGTACTACAGCTAACAAGAACAGCCACAGAAACAGTAAACATATTTAATGGCTTAAGTATTAAAAATGTGTCAAAGATTTATTTTATAGCACAAATAAATTTTTCTGTAAATGCATCCTAGGTTCTTTAAGTTCATTATTTTTTCTTTTATAGAGGTAGTAAATAATTAACTTCTGAGCTTAGTAAAGATCTTTGGTGGACATCCAGGGGCATCTACCTGCGCTGTGATGCTCTCTTGATCTGCAATGTCTCTCCAGTATTTTTTTCTAGTGCTGCTATAGTACTTTGCATTTGCTCATAAATTATGAAAGGAAGTTTTACATTGATCAAATTCCAGATTAAAATGTAGCTCAGTGAACTAGGATGAAAGCGCACCAAAGCTTCAGGAGATATGAACGAAAACTGTCAAATGGAAAAAAAAAAAAAAGGCTGATCCAAAAACTTCATTTTTTAAACCCAGCCTTTCTTTAATGTCAAAACATTATTTGTCACTGGTTCCAGAATGGAGCACAAAAATTCTTTATTTCATAAGAAGGTTTTGGAATGGAAACCCATTCTGCTAAGGTTTTTCTACATAAAAAGCTTCAAAATGTTTAGAAATAGAGGATGTCAGGACAAAATATTATAATTTTAACAAGCAAAATATTTGAACTGACCACAGAAATTTTCCTTTTTTGTTTTTTCTTGAAGAAATGCCTATTGGGCCTAACAATTTTTTTTTTTTCAAATTGTTGTTGTTGAAATATGAAATATGGATTTTTTCACAAATTTAAAATATGGTTCTTCTACCTCTGACTTCTATGCAGAAGTCAGTGAAGCTGAAGAGCTTGATTAGCTCTCTTCAGCTGTCTCCTTTAATTTTTTCTATGATGGTTGTAACTATCCTTTAACTCACATTCCAGTGTTTGCTGGAGCTTGGGAGGTTCCTGTGGGTGCCATGGAAAGAAGTGTGAGAAGTTTTCCATTTTTTACAGAGATACTCTGCTCCGCTGAGGATGCTCTGTTAGTTACTATTGTCTTCAAAGTACCCAAAATAATGATTAGTATTCATATAAGAGTCCAGAACGCATGTTTCACTTAGAACTTACAACTCAGAATATGTATAAAAAAGTCACTGATTATATTGTGATATCAATTCTGTATGTCTTCAAAATATCTGATCAGATGTGGTTCACACACTGCAGCCGAAGCACCTTAAACTATTCTGCTGACACACATGCATCAGCACTGTATACCCCTCATCAAACATACTTAAGAAATTTTCCCAGGTGAGCCCTTTTCATTTTCACAGCAAATACCTTCCAGAAAACAGCGAGGGCATTCTTCAAACATGTGAAAGTCTTGGAATGAAAAGGAACAGTTCTGTCCCTTCTTAATTAAGATTTCCCACAATGAATCTCACTTTAGCATTATAATATCCTGAAAAAGGCCACCCATCTTATCTTACATGTGGTGAAAGAGATACTAGCCCTGCATCCCACCTGCACAGCTTGCCGCCTGAGACTGAGAAGAGAAACTCAGGGTCAATTGCTTTCCTTTATCTGTTACCTTCAGGAGATACTCCAGCAGGAGACTTGCTACAATCAGAAAGTCAGAGGAACTTTGGGGCTCTGAGGACTTTCAGATTCCCATTCCCCAACGGGAACTGGTTAGCCTGCTGTCCTTGAAAGCTATTCCCAAGTGTATTTCTCCTCACCACCAACACTGAAACTGCTCATCTTTTACCTCATAAGAGAAAACTCACCAGATAAGTTAACAGAGGTGTCAGACATGGTCAGGAAAGTTGAAAATAAAAATCAAATAAATAAACTAAAAAGTAACACCCTAATACATTTGAAAAATGCTTGATGGACCATAAAAGTATCAAGAGATCTGGGAGAACTCTCAAGAGACTTGGCAAGAGACTTGGCTGGGAGCTACATGAATGCAAACATGTCAGAACTGTGATGAGAGAAGCAATGAAAGAGAGTGAATTTCTAAAAAAGAGGGAAAAAGGAGTAAATTAAGAATAAGTTATGGAACCATCTGAGGAGCTGGCAAACAAGACAGGAAAAGATTTCAGAAACAAACCAAGAGGAACACCATTAGCAGTGATAATAAAAGCACTTTCAGAAATATCTGGGGGACTTTGAAGTAATTAGTGAACGAAGAAGAAGCATCAGGGAAAATACCACTGGAAAAGAAAAATGTGATAAACCAGGTCAAATTCAATCACAACCACGAAATGATGAATAAATAAAACATAGTGCAAAACCTTAACCCAAGTACTGTTAGAGAAAGCAGTATGTCTGTAATGGAGTAACATGCTAGAAGCATGGGTTATCTTTTCAACTTTTAAAAACGTACTGGCAGTCTTAATAATATTGTAAGCATTTACAATATTGTTATAAGTAAAGTTATAAATAAAATACTTTAAATTAAAATCTCTAGCAAGTTATCTATCATTCTAATAAATTAATCTAAGTATTTTACTATTTATGTATTGTACTTTTTTCATGCTATGATATTTCTTTTCAGATCCAACCGAGATCAGGCTTCACCTTTCAGAATATTGAAAAACCCATACTGTCCCAGTTTGATGAATCAGACAAAGGGTGACATAGAGGATCAGAAAGCCACTCAGTAGTTCAATTAAAGTTCAAGAAAGAGGACTGTCTAATCATATCACACTGTTACATATTCAGATTAGTCATTTTACCATTTGAAAGCTCCAGTTTTCAAGCTATCATGTTTTTTTACTGGGCCCGATCCAACCTCCAACGAACTGGAAATTCAATCCATTAATCAAGTTTTCAGGGCTTACTTAGCATTCAGCACTGACACCCCCATAGGTTCCATACAAACTGTAGAGTTGTATTACATTGTTGGTAGTTTACTTGTTGAAATTCCTGACACAAATCTTTCCATAAATATTTTTCACAATCATAAACTTACACTAGGTATCATTTATCATTTACCACTGTAGTGCTGAACCTGCCAGATTCAAATCTGAGATAGAGAAAGTAAGAAAAACACAAAATAAAAGCACTAAAAAAAAATTACTTGTGCAAGGAGCTTAAAATATATGGAATTAGTGTAGGTTTTCTTCTATAATTGTACCTCTATAATATTATTTAATGTAGTATTCACAGGTGAAATTTGCAGTGTGGACTGAAAAAGGAGCTCCTAGATCACATAAATATTTCAGATGCAGGCAATTTTCAACATTAAAATTGAGGGAAATCCAGAAGTATGGAAAATACAGGGGATGTTTTGACACACCTGATGGCAATATCTCCATATTTTGCTATATTCATTATCACCCGTACTTCCAATAAACAATGGCATACTTCTGTGAAAAGGACTGTTAGGATATTACTGACACATCCTGTGTGCAGTATATATTGCTAAGATAGCTTCATCATAAAGGACACATCTTGAGGTTACTTCACTGTTAATGGTACACTAACAGGGAAAATTGCAAGAATTATGAAATTTTTGCTTAACTAGGGATGTGACCTATTCTATTGTTCCAGGATAATTTCTTCTGTATAAGAAACTTACCAAAACATAACCATCTTCAATGTATAAGTTCATGAACAGCAAGCAAATGACAAGGACTCCTAAGAATGACACTGCTGATCGTTTCCGCAAGCATCTCATTTTATCAAAATATTTCAAGCTGTGTCTCATGTGAAGAAAGGTATATAGTAGTGGCACCTATGAAAGAAAACCACAGTATTACAAGAACTGACTATCTGATAAACATGATAGCAAAACAACTTACCTTTACGTGTATCAAATCCCTTCAAACATGCATAGACAATACCCTTCAAGGTGGAATTAATTTAATTTGATCACTATCATGAAGTTTAATATAAAATCTTAACTATAATGTAAGCTTTTTTGTTGTTGTTTTGACAGCAAATAAAAAAGCACAGTTTGTCCTAGCCATTTTAGGCTGGAATTATGATGTCACTGCAGCAGAAGTGTATCAGCAGTTCAGTTTCCTGTGTATAACTATTAGATCTCAACTTGAGGTTGAGAGATGATGTTGTGCATTGTTTCCCTGTGTACTTGTGTCTCCTTCCAAAGACAACTCAGGACAACAGTCAAGGAAGAAGCTATTGCATTGCTCAGTATTGTTGCCAACAGGAGAATTCTGGATACCAGAACTGCCAGGCCCAAACGGGGTACCTTCCCTGCAGTGAGAAGGCAGTAGCAAGACTGTGCAGCTTCCCTTAGCCTTAGACTTCTGTGCTAGCATGGAAAAACTCTCACTGGAGGTGTCATTTTCTCCAAAAGAAGAAAAGTAGTTGTCTACCTTAGGCCAGACACATCAAAGCAAAGTATTGAGAAGTCCTTACTGCAACAATTAGATGCATCAGACAAAGGGTGGCATAGAGGATCGGAAAGCCAATCAGTAGTTCAATTCAAGATCAAGAAAGAAGACTATCTAGTCATATCACAATGTTACATATTTGGTTTAGTAATTTTACTATTTAAAACAAGATGAATGCTGTTCCTGACTACCAAACCATAAGCATTAACCTGTGTAGGACTATGTGTGTTTGAATAAGATCTGGCCACAAACTAAAGAAATGGGCTCCAGATCGGACTGTCCAAACTCTGGGTTTCTTAACTAAAAAGTAGATTATAAGATCATTATTTATGCTTTCACTTGTTTAAGGACAAATATATTTTGGCTATGGTCCATAACAATGTCTGATTTTTTAAATCAAAAGTAATATATAGAATTTATGTATAAATGGAGAGTTTAAAGGCTAGCCTGTGTGAAGTAGTAAATAGCACTGCAAGTGCAGTGGTTAAACCGTACCTTTTAATTCCTTCATTTTTGAAAGTGTTGAACATCTAAACTGACACAAAATAAGCCAAATTAGGAGTTCTATAAAAGATTCGTCATATAGAAAAATTTCAAGCCTAGTAACAAAAAAACCTTACAGGTGTAAAATTCAATCTATATTTGCTTTGCCAAACTGATTAAATATATCTAACAGTGTAAATTATGAGTCCATTAGATTCTAGAGAAAAGGGAGGTAAATACATCAAGTATTAGTTACACATATATTTAAATGCAAGATTTTGTCCATAGAGAATCAAGATGAGCTGCAGTAAATGGACACTGTCGTACACAGAATGATTTTAAAATCACTTGGTTGAGAATAAGAACAACTTAACATGTTGCACAAAGGACAACAAAAAAAAAGAATAAATAACAGTAGATTTCTGTCACTATTTATTTGAGGGTGGGCTGAATTGCAGTGGGCTGATTATATTGAAGCTGAAAAAGCCCAGTGTGGTTATTTTTATGTTACAGCTACAATTTCCTTTTTCCTTAATACTTAATATCTAAAAAAAAACCTCAAACAAAACCCAAACCAAAAAAACCATCAGGAAAGAGCTGTCAGGGCCATGAATCTTCAAACTCTTACCCTCTCACCTGTGACAACAGAGCAGTTGCTGGGTGTCTGTGGATTCCAGCAGGCTGTTGGGGAAATGAAAGATTACTGCTGTGCTAGAAAAGACTGTGTTACACATACATTTTGTTTGTTTCTTTCTTTCTTTTTTTTTTTTTCTCTTTTTCTTTTCCTCAGTATGACCACTGATTTTCACAACAACATACTCTTTTAAAAACTTATCAGAGGATCACTGGACGTATTAAACACTGTAGCTTCCCAGATAATGACATGAACTAGCCTGACTATTGGAAATTGAAAGAGTCTGGGTCAGCATGCTTGCAGCCACTGGCAACTTCAGATGTAGAGCTGCACTACAGTTGCACGTATTGAATTTATTCTTTGGAAAACTTGTGAATAAATAAATGTTTTTTTTCAGTCGCAGCATGACTGTATGTGCAATATTTTTTGAAAGAACTGTGATATTACACAGTTTTCTCATCTTTTCTCTGAGCAGCCTGTCTGTAAGCCTATATTTGCAATTATATTTACTGGTTATATTATATTGGTTTTTTTTCCTCATTACAATTTTCATTAGATCATTACTGTGTTGGATTAGGAACAGAAATTGAGGGAATTATGCAGGTGAGGCTGGAGGAACACAGAATTGTCATTGCTAAGGCTGATGTACAGAAAGAGAAGAGATCAGCGTGGCTTGTGTTGGTTTCAGAGGGCAGTCGTTAAAACATTCCTGTTTTACAAATAGAGTCCGTGAAACTGTTGAAAGCAAAAAGCCATTGCAGTGAGGTTTCTTTGTTCATAAGACCTATTGGTAGGTTCATACCGACTGAAGGAACCGAAGGAAAGGACTCAGGGTACGACCCGTCGTGGACCTGTATCACGGAGGCACTGACGCCATCACTAACACCAGATGGCACTGCGGACACGCACTTGCCAGCCCTCAACCTGTTCCTAAACCTATTTCTTCCAACCAGTTTGTCTGAACGTACTATTTGACATACTGTAAGCCTTTAGCTAAAAATGTGCACAGACTCGTACATATGTACATACAGAATTCCCTGCATCTTCCTAGAACTGCTGCTTCTTGCAGGTCCATTTCCAATCTGTAACATTGCATTGTGGGACACTACACAAGTGAAATTTGCAAGGAAAAGCAAGCTAATTTTCCCTTCTTTGCAGATGATGTCACTCATCTTTTGAAAAAATGTCTCAGAACTTTCCACAGTGAGACTCTTGATGTTCCTTAAGACTATTTGAGCAGAATATGCACCACTACTAAAAATGAAGACTTTGTGTGATAGTTTAACTTAGCTGGCAACCAAAAAAGACACAGCCACGTTAAAAAACATGCATGAATTATAAATCTTTTCCTTTCTAAATGAGATGTATTGTTTTCCTCAGTCTCTCCAGAGAGACATTTTAAGACACCAGATCCCTGTGCACAAGTATGTGTTTCTATTACACATGGACATGCAGTTTTACAGAGTAAAATGAAACTATAATTCTTTTGACTTTCTGAAATGACACAGCAATGAAAAGACAGTGAGCTAAAAAATGCAATGACATGCTGACATTTGTCTTGCAGAATTTGCAACAATCAGAGTATTTAAAAAATTGTTTTAAAAAGCAAATCCCAAATGACCTTCCAGTAAGACTCTGTTCTTAATAAGCTAAGTCCTTAAAAATAAAAAATGAAGTTAAAATATTTTAAGTCTGTTAAAATTTGAAAACATATTTCAATCCTGATGTCAATGTAGCTGTTCCTCAGAGGAAAAAAATGAGACAAAGCAAGAAGTTTTCCTTATATTCCTCTTTTTCATACGAAAAGGCTTTTTTTTGCTAGTCCTGTAATAATTTATCCAGACCACATACATGCACACTCAATGTGGCCAACCATTTCATATTCAATCCACTCTAATTCTTCATTACTTTCTGATGTTACTACGGATTTTGTGCTTTGTTCTGATTTCAGAACTTATTGTTTACTTTCCTGATCTGTTTTATCCTCAAAAAGATACATAAAAAGGCCCTGTGGTGTTCCTTTACCCTTAAGTATGCAACCCTAAGTTAGCGACTTAGCCTTACCTAACCAATACAGTGAACCTGCTTGTATCTATAGATGTCCTGAGGTGGAGTAACAAGATAATCTTTGTATTATATTCTAGTCTGCTTGGGTGCTGTGCCCCAGCAACTCAACAGTAGTTGATTATTTGCAGAGGAACTGATGGCTCTCAGAAATGGCAACTGCATTATTATTATATTGTAATATTTCAAAATCAGGCATGTAGCTTTGCCTAAAACTGCAGAGTCTGTATTCCAGAAGGTACAGTAGAGCAAACCTGCTACCACATATATTACATGGTCAAAATCCATAGACAACACACAAAAAACGATGACTGAATTATTAAATCCCCTATGAACTTTGTTGCAATCCTTGATTTGACTAAGGCATTCAGAAGCAAGTACTTCATTCCCCAGCCTTGTGACATACCATTCTACCATTATGTAACTGAACTGCTTTCCTTGCAGTTCTTAAAGCTTATCCAATATTTTTCAGCTTTTCTTTTTGGAAACTGTGTATGGTGCCTCAAGGATTGCATTCAGTCCTCTTTATAAAGTAGCAAAGGAAATATTTTCAGGGAAAAAAAAAAGGAAAAAAAAAGAAAAGAAAACTAAAAAAAGGAAATTTTTTACATGCCTATTATTAAATTTTGCATGTGTCATGGTCTTCTTACACAAAATGAAGAAAACAAACCCTAGGTTGTGATATACATTTGAGCTACGGTTGGTAGTAAACTGGAGAATTATAACAGATAAGCTATTCCATGGAGCTCAGATAGACTCCCAGCAAGATTCACTCTCTCTCTTACTGCAAGCCTGAAAGTCCATATAAAATATTTAATTAAGGCTGACAGGCAGGGTGTTTACTGTCACTGTCAGCAGGGAAGTAAAAACTGGTCTGAGGGAAAGGAAGGTTTAACTCAGAATGAGCCTAACAAATCCAGAGGGTAGATCTCAGGCTACTTTACTCCATAAGTACATTTTTTTGGATGACTTATCATTGTGTAGCTCCACATCCTCAAAACAAATGGTTTAAAGATTATAATGTCTTCTGAAATTTATATTCTAGATACAGAAATTTAAAAAGAGGTATATAAGTAGGCAGATTACTCAAAATTAACACTGGTAAAAGGATGGGCCAAAGAAGTGTGTTTTAAAAAAGGATTTGAAAGGCGTATTGATCCTTGATCCACAGAAAGTGAGAGATTATTTCAAACGCAG